AAAAACCACTTTGTGAAGTGCAACCTTTTTTTTTAGAATAACAGCAATGATAATGAAATTTTCACAGAAATACATTTTTTTTTTTTTAACATCGGGGGGGGGAACAATAAAAATCTAGAAAAAAAGGATTTTATATCTGATGGGAAAAGCGTAGGGTCTAACCAATACTTGGGGAATGATGGGAGGGGCAAGAGGGAGGTTACAGATGTCTGAGGGGTTACATGATTATCTGAAACTGTATACTGTATTTAGTCATGTCCTAATATCTTTTATCAGCTGGTACAGAGGAATTGGTTTCTATGTGTTTGACAAGCTGAGTCAGAATTTCTGGTGTCTATTTTCTGTAATAGGAAGAAAAATAAAATTGTAGGACAAGTATCTTTGGCTGTGTTTTCTATGCAACACAGGTTACATCCATTTTCTGTTTGTACAAAAATGGTATTTTTAAAATTTAACTACTAAAGTTAAGTCATGGAAATTTTTTTTTTTTTTCTGGTCATATCTTCTTTGATAGCAAGAATCACAACCAACCTCAAAAGAGGTCACAGGTTACACAGTGATCTACTTGGCTTTTATTAAGTGAGGCAAATCTACTTTTTACTGTTATTAGCGATGATATTGGCCAATTCTGCTAAAATGTGTATATCCAGGCATGTTCTTAAGCTGAAATGCCAGTTTTATCCAATCCAGGAAAAGTCATACTCTGCTTGATGGCTGAGCGAGTCCACACAGCCTGTGTGTAACTGAGCCTGTATTTAACTGTGTTGTCTTGTACAAAGACTTTGGTTTTCCTTGTGACTAAAAGGAAGAAGCTTACAAGTCCAAATGTTTATAGTAATCCTAATTTCTTAACAAATGTTTTTTTTGTTTTGTTTTGGTTTTTTTAAAAAAAAAAAAAAAAAAGGAAGAAAGGTTTTGTGGTAAGCCTGTAATTGAAATGCTGGAGCTCTCTGGAAGAGCTAAGGAATTGAATATATATATAAGAACTGTGTGATGAGACACATCATCTGTAGACAATGGCTGTATCTAAACTGTAGGATCAAGCACCTTCTAGCTTCAGTTTTCTTATGTATGCCCTGGTCACTTCTGGGTTTCTGTGGGGAAAAACTATGGAGCATCCAAGTTACAAGGGAACTATATTGGCATCTAGGCAAGTTCTTGATCTGGATAATCAGAGTAAGAGGACTGTAGGGAGCATCAGGGGAACACTTGCTTCAGACAAGCAAAGTGTCTCTGTTTTGGTTTTGCCTATGTGAAATGGGATGATAATCTTATTTTAGCTGTCTTTGGTTTTCCCATATAGCCTAGAAGTTAATTAAGAGTGAATTGATTAGTTTCTAAGCGATTGCACTACACCTACCACAATAGAATCCCAGCCTTCGTTGGAGTTGTCCTAACACTACTGTCATAGAAACGATTGCATTTTTACGTAGTTGTAAACTTAATTCAAAATTACATTGCAAATTTAAAAGCTGTAGTACTGTACTCGTACTTTAAGCATTATTGTCTATGTATTTTCTTTAGCATTGAGAAAAATAGCAGTTTGTGTTTTTTTTATTTCAGATTCGCTCGTCAACTTTTAAATTTTCAGAATCATGGTTTAACAGTGTTTTTAAACTGTCTTTTAAAACCAGTGTCCTAGAGGCCTAAAGTTTCAAAAGGGAAGCCTAAAAATAAAAGAATAAGAGGTAGTATAGAGCTGGCCAACTTGATTTGACTTGCAAGTATATATGCAAATGTTGATTATATCAGTTGCAAAGGTCATAAAATTGCACTCTCAGGAAAAAAAGAGAAATTGTTATTGTCAGCTTCTCAAGTCTTGTATTATTCTGTTTTTTGTCTCATGCACTCACTTTACTTTTAATGTGAAAACTAGTTCCACTGAAAATGTATATTTGCATAATTTGCATAGAGCTTCCCTAATACAAAAAAGAAAATGCAAATCAGCTTTGTTTAAACTTGGCAAAAATTATGTAGGTATCTTTTTTTCACTACAAAAACTACGTGAATGTTATAACTCTTAGTTTTACTCAATTCAGGATAGTAGTAAACTTGTGTCTGTGATAAAGCTGTGGTTTGTGCATGAAGCAAGCCGAGCCTGTTGTGAAAAATAAGTAGATTGATGGTTGGCTGTCTTAGCCAACTTCGCTCGTTGTTGTAAAGGTATTTAGCAATGCCTTCCCACAGCACGCATTTCAAAAAAAATGATTGCTTCACGCTGTTCTGTAGGTAGTCTGTGTCTGTCTGTTGTAGAAGAATTAATTATTCTTCATAGGACAGTGACCTGGAAACAGTTCTGCTGAATCATTAGTCCTTACTTATTAACTGAGTGGTTCCTTCTTTTGTTATAATGTTGTGGGTTTTCTTTCTCTTTGGGCCTTTCAGAGATTTAAATAATACTTAAGAGCTAGTGGCAGAAAGGTCATAAAAACTCTGATTTTGTGTTTACTTTAGATGGGCAGCTGTGCTGAGCTTCACTGCCATTAAGGGGAGGAATGAGTCACGCCTGTAAGACTGCTTAAATTTAAAACTTTGTTTTGGATATCTCTTATAAAATGTCTTATCTTGTTTTTAAGGACTTGGAGAGGAAGGAAGAGTTGTAAGATAGAACTTATTTTGCATTTTTAAAAGGCTAATTTTCTTAAATCTTCGGGAGCATATGTTCAATCTTCTAATGAACGTGTCGATTGCATTGGATTTCAAAGCATGCGATTTGGCATGTATAATGAGGGTATTTGGGTAATACAGCAGGAAAATAAAGAGAAGGTAATTAAATGCTGTACAGGAATAATTTACATACAGAGTTCTATATCTCTTCTGTAATTCATTCAAGCACAGCAATCAAGGCAAGTTTCTCCTGGTATTTTTTTTCCCTCCAGGATGAACCAGGAAAAGTGTCTGTTAAGTGATAGTTTTGAATACTTTGCTCTGCTGTGTTTAGTTTGATTTCCAAAGGCTGCTATATTCAACCTGTCTTCGTTCCCTGGTAGTGTCTGAAACCAACTTTTTGATAGCGAATTTGAAAGAGAAATCCAGATAGGTTTCATGAGAATACTTGATTAAAAAATACACGTTTGTGTCACTGATGGTGTAGTGTGCATTCAGCAAGAAATTCATGCAGGGAGAAGATCTTTTCATTTATCTTACTGCAGAAAGGCTCGCACAGGAGCTAACGGTAGGTAAAAGAAGATGAAACAAGGGGAAGCTGAGCTCGACACTTTTGCAGAACAGATTATTTTTCTGTATTTGAGTAAATGTGTAAGCTAATGGCTTTCCACCATATTTGTGTGTATCAGAGAAAACTTTATATTAATGAAACTTAGGCACTCGCATATGTAAATGTAGGAAAAGCAGATTGATTTTTTTGTTGTTCAGAAAAGCAGGCCTCTCCATTTCACAACTGCTATTTACTAACATTCTGTTAAATTTGTACACTGCAGTAAAATCTAGCTGGTTTAATGCTTTTTTTTTTAAATCGTGTTCAATGATTGATTTTCTTTCTCATCAGTTTTAGAGTACAGTCATTACTGTATGGTGTGCAGTTGCTGAGAGAGTACTTGACTAGTTAAGGCAGTTTTTATAATAAACCTTTTTCAGTAGAATTAAATCCACATTGCTACACAAAACCCAGATACATTAAATGAAGGTCTAGTGTAGTATTACAGAGGATATGATAGCAGATATCTAACTTGGCCCAGTCAAGTTACTCAACACGTGTTTTTAGTGCTACGTTACCTGCATCCCAGTATACCTGCCAGTGCCCAAATATTCTGCATTATTGAAACCTGTTGAATTGTTTAATATGTATTACATTAAAAAAAATAGTAGTGTTATAAATTATATCACTTCTGGAAATAAGCCACTGATTCACTTTGGTTTAGCTGTCTCATTTCTTTAAACAGAGTTTAGAAGCCCGTAGACCGAAAATTTGCAAAATGTCATTGTTCTGGTTTTGGCTCACAACTAAAGTTTAAGGGTCTGATCTAGAGTTTATTGAGGCCAAAGGAAGTGCTCCCCTGGTTGTGGGCTTATAGTCACATTAAGTGACTATATGCGTTTATTCTAGGTTCCAGAATGGGCTTGACTTTTGAAAGAGTCAAGAATTATGTTGGTTTATGTAAATGACTCTCAAAAATTGTAGCATATGAACCTGTTTTGTTTGAAGAAAGTTACCAATATTTCATTCAAGGCCTATTTTCCTTCACCTTTGTCTGTATTATCAAGGCAGCTAGTGAATATATGTTTAACAAACAGTAAAATTCTCAATTGGATCACGTAAAAACTTAAGATTGTCATAGTATATTTTTACATAGGCTCTGCGGGATAATATGTCAAGAGTAATGTTTGGGAAAGGTTTTTGCTTTGTGATAGCTACATGTATATCAAGAAGCTCCATAGCAAACCAAATTTTAACTACATTATCTTTGTTGCTATGGAAATTAGGACTGCGGGTATTTTTTGTGTAGCTTACCTAAAGGAAGTGTCTGGTCCAAGTATGCTTTATTGATTTGCAGAAATCGATTTTGCGTTAGGACTGGTTTAAGATTTCACACACACACACACATTCTAATATTGAGTAATTATATTGTAGGTGTAGTTTGAGTACTCAAAAATCAGAAATTATTTTACATCTATCAGTTTATAACCACGTATTTATTTTTATACATGAAGATGCAACAAGATGCCAGTTCTAACGGTTCTGTTTCGTTGTTTGCACTACTTGGGAGTTTTTGTCCACATGTAAACATGCAGTTCAATTTATAGCTGTGTCAATAATTTTTCCAAGTCGTGTCTCCAAATATTCTAAAACAAACCAAACCAAAACAAAAACACCACCAAACACCATTGAAATTGTTATTTGTCATTGACTTGCGTCTTACTTTTTTTTCCTGTAATTTAATAGTTATTTACATTAAGCAAATATTTCTCGTCTAGCTGTTGCATCAGTAAGTAACCCAGGAAATTACACTTCACTTTCTGATTTGTCTTTCCTATTACAGGCGAGCTCAAATCTCTTGCTTCCTGCGCCATCATCGCTGTCACCACACTCCAAGCTAAGACTGCCAGGCACACTGAGCACTCCACTGAATCCTCTGTATTCTTTCGGTACTAGAAGTGGTAAGTTTCTTTATTTCTTCACTCTCTGTAAGGAATGGGTAATAACTTCCATGAGGATTTTTTTTCTGCCTTTATAAATTTTGCTGTGCAGCTCTTTCATGGAGTGTCCTGGTTGTTATATGTGATATTGTTTATAAAGTGCAGTGTGATACAGTCTAATACTGATATATGTTCCCACGTAATGCTTTTTTCTTTAAGCTGTACAGTTGGTGCTATCAGTTCCTAGAACAGTATGAGATTGCCAGCTTTTCTTAATTTAATATTTTGATAATATTTTAATACTTACTGAAGTATCTTCACCACAGACACTGAAAAACAGTAAGATCATATTTTTAAGGGTATATGTATTGATATAAGAAAACAGTAATAAGAAAAGCAGTTTACTTAAGAACTATAGTGCTCGGTAGTCTATTTGCAGTTATGTTTAATCTATTATTAGGGGCTTGTTTCTAAAGACATTTTGTATTCAAAGATTTTGAGAAAAAGGTAAGCAATGAAATTATGCGTTTTTCTGGTACTTATTTTGCTAATAATATCTGTTGTATTGATAATGATAATATTTAATAATAAAACTGATAATTTCATGCTTTTCTGTCTTTTTGGGGCACCTATAAAATAAGACAGAAAATTGGAACCTTAGTTTCAAAGTGGTTTTGTTTGTATCCTTGAGAAGAGTAAAAAGAAGTCATGGGGGAGGGTGGAATATGTAATGAACTAAAAACAGGTAGTAGAGATTGAAAATATAGATGGTAAAGGTAGGAATAGTCTCTATAACTCTGTATAATTATCTTCTAAGGCAACTTTCTTCACAAATCAAGTTACGATTAGTTTTTCTGAATGGCAGGGGAACGAGTCCTTAGCATGGTCTAAAAGATTGATCAGTAGTCTCAGAATTGCTCTTAGTCACCAATTTACAATGTGAATTGCCATACACCAATTAACTTCTGTATTTCCATTTTTCTACCTCAACAAAAGTGCTTAGAGCCATAATAACATTCACTTATTGCACAGCAGATGCTTATTGTTTCCAGAGTGTGTAAATCTTTCAGAAACAGTAGAATACATATGCTGTCCTACACATTGTGAATACTTAAAATAGGTGGACTAACCCTTTAAAGAACATTAACATATACTTCAAATTGTTTTAAATGGCTATATTTAATATTGCTCAAACCAGTGCATTTTATTGTCTTGGATTTTACTTTATGCAGAAGCACAGATAAGTGTGTTGATGGAGACTTGTTAAATAGCATGAGCAGAAAGAGATGTTATAGCTGTTCATGTGCACTCCCTATGTAGTTGTTCCCAAAACTGACTAATTCTTCAAGATGATCCTCATGTACGGGATATTATTTATGCAAGGGAAGTATAGTAAAAAACAGGTACATTTTTAATGGTCTTTCAACAGTCAATGAAAGCAATGAGAAAATTAAGATTTTTAGGGGAAAAAGACCATAAAAATTGTAGTGGACCACAATTGAAATAGATTTTCCTATAAGAAAATCTTTTAGAATTCTAAATTACTTTTTTGTCATTTTGGAGACCTCCAAGTTGTTCTACTGAGATAGAGTTGTTTTCAGTGAAACATATGAGAATGAAATAGCTGCAGAAATCTTCTTCCTAACTGCCAGCTTAACCTTACTTGTCAATAACAGAAAATCTGTGCTTAAAAAGATCTATTTGTTTGTGTACTGTGCTGAAAGCACAGAACCTTTTTTTTTCTGTGTTGATTTCATGTACGCTATATATGCTTATCTGTATTCATGTTATTGGGATGTTGCATCATTAACAACTGCCTGTGATACAGAGATCCCTCATTTTTGTCCGGCAGATGGTTACCTATTCCTGAGAGTTATGTTGGCAGTTATTCGGTCTTCTCATTCTCACGCTTTCCAGTCACCTTTTGCTCTGTATTTAGTGCTTCTTAAAGCAAAATGCAGAATTCCCATTACAGTGAAGTCCCTAAAGGCAGCAGGTGTAAAGCTCTGCTAGAAATCTTTTTAACTGTATGTGTATGTGCATGCTGTTTTAACTTGATAAGGTTGTAGATGATGTCTCGTGATATGGACAGTGTAGTAGCCTCGATTCATGCATCACCTTCCTTTATAAGACAATTTAATTATCTAGGTCTTGCATTAGGTAGAAATAGTGGAAAAACAGGGTATCACCTTTGTGATTTATGGGCAGTAGCAGTAATACTGCAGATCATTCCTGACTTTTAAATCTTTTTGTATCCAGATACATTTGCAGAAATAGCTGTAAGTGATTTTGTAATGCTTCAAATAAAAGTAATATTCACTACTATGCCTTTTAAACATGCCTGTTCATTTTAACAGATGGGTTCTGTATACTCTTAAACATAGTATGTTTTGGCTTTTCTTCAAGTGCATACTTTCACATGTATATAGGCTTTCATGAAGCCCCAGTCTACGTTCTGCTTATTTACCTTCCTCACTTCCCTCAAGATCAGTTACCTCACGGTCACTGAGGCAGGACTGCCTTTGTCTCCCAGTGTGCTCAGGGGTGCAGCCCTCCTAGACAACCTGTCCAGCATCTGCATCAAAAAGGTGTCCCCAGTGCATTCCAGAAGTCTGAATTGCTTCTAGCATGTGGATTTTTGTCTCTTGAGCTGGCACTGAGGTGGTTAAAAACTTCCATGAGAGTCAGGGCCTGTGACTGTGAGACTTCTTGCTCTGTTTAAAGAAGGGTTTTTCCGCTTCCTCTTCTTAACAAGGCAGTCTGTAGCAGGTGCCCCCCACAATGTCCACATTTTTGGCCTCTCTTCCAATTTTGGCCCATATGCTCTTGACAAACCTGTCACCTGCTCCATAGCTCTGTGCATGGAAGCCTCTCCTCCCTTCCCTACAGCACTCTCCATTCTTTTCTTCCCTGTTAGTCCTTCCTAAAGAGCCTGTGTCCACAGCTCTCACAACACTCCAGTCAAACAGTAAGAAATGTAAATTTGTAAATATTTTATGTAAAGGAAAAATTCATGAAGCAGTGAAAATGTGGTTCAGTGCCATTTATCTTTCTAATATAGCCTCTTCCCTCAGCAATGCTGTTCTGTGAAAGCAAACTCGAGTTACTTGGAAACCACTTGGGTTCATGCGTCCTTGAATATTTTGTAGTGTGATAGCAAAGGTGTCTCTTCTTATTTCAGTCTTCTCTCTGTTCTATAATGTTTGAGACTTACATTGAGCACCCCTTTCTGATTAATTAATTTTTTAAAAAGGTGAACAGTTATCTTTATGAAGTGACTCTATATAGAGTGAAACAATCTGCAAGTGATTGATTTTCTGTATGCTCAGCTGCTATAACTTTGAATTGTAAACTAATATATCTCTATCAGATCCTTCCTTGTCTCCGTAAAGAGTTTGTTCATTTATGGCTTTTTTTATCCCTGATCTTGAGTTCTACATGTGATGCTTAGTCATCCTAACTTACTTTGTTCCAAATTAAATAATTTGTTGTGTAATCATCAAATAGAGAGCTTCAGCACCTTTCTCAAGCACAGAATGTTCTCTATGGGAGATGAATAAAGACAAGATCACGGTGTCATCAAGGTGGGAAGGCATCTCTGGAGACTGTGCAGCCCAACCCTCCTGCTCAAAGCAGGTTCACCTAGATCAGGGTGCTCAGGACTGTGTCCAGTTGGGCTTTGAATATCTCTAAGGATGGAGACTCCACAACACCTCTGGACAGCCTATTACAATGTTTGACTATTCTCACAGTAAAGGGTTTTTTTTCTTAGGTTTAAACAGTATTTTGTGTATTTCAGTCTGCATTGGTGCATGGGATTATTCCTCCACTAATGCAGGACTTTGCATTTCCCTTTGTTGAACTTTGTGAGGTTCTTGTTGGCCCTGCAGCCTCTCTGCAGTCTGTCAAGGTCCCTCTGAATGGCAGCACATCTCTGGTGTATTAGCCACTCCTCCCAGTTTTATCATCTGCAAACTTGCTGAGGGTGCACTCAGCCCCATCATCCAGGTCATTAATGGAGATGTTAAACAGTGTGGGCCCTAGTATCAACCCCTGGAATGCGCCACTAGTGACGGGTCTCCAGATCGATTTCATGCGAGTGGTTACAAACCTCTGGTCCCTGCAGCTCAGCCAATATCCAGGTCACTGCACTGTCTGCTTGCACAGTCTATGCTTCTTCAGTTTGTCTGTAAGAATGTTACGGGATACAGTGTTGAATCTCTTGCTAAATTCAAGGGTAATGACATACGCTGCTTTCCCATCCCAAAGAGGTACACGTAAAGTTTTGTCAAGAGTATGGTTAGAATTACTAGCAAAAAGGAATAAATTTTGACAAATAGTAATTAACAAAATAAGTACCACAAAGCAGATACAAGTCATGGATTAACTTGTTTCTTATGTGTTATGTATAAAACACATAAGATGTGAGCGAGATTTCTTAAAATTTAACAACTAATTTAAATTTAAGAAAATGTGTATTGTGTTAAATTTGAGAGGAAGGCACTAAGCTTAGGTTTTGTTACTGTCCATCCTGATAGCCTGCCAGTTGGAATTTTTCATTAAGAACATAACTCATTTTGCCACATCAGGGGTTATTTTGTGTCTGCCTCAGTAAAGCTGTGCTGATCGCTATTTCAGTCATTTGAAAAGTTTGCTAGATGTGTGTCTGGAGAAAGTCATCCCCCTTTGAGTTTTGCCTTTGTAATTTGGATTCATGAAGTCTTATGGCTGGTCCTGTTTTTCACTCTGATCAAATTTCTCCATGTTATATATATAGCAGATTACTTTATTCTTACTTGATTATTGTTTAGGGAATCTGTCCCAAAAAGTATGTAATGTTTAAGCTGCTGAACTTTTTTTTTCTTTTTTTTGCTTCCAGTAATAAGAAAATTTGTGTAAGACGATAGCTCTGCTTATACTCATGCTTCAGTACTAATTTTATCGTACCCATCCTGTGGTGCTACTCTGCAGCACTGCACTGTAGCATTATGCAGGACTTTGTTTTAGACATTCCTGTCTTC